AGGAAGTCCGGATTCATACGTGTAGCTGCCCACTGCACTTCTCCATTTGGTTGACTAATAGACATATTAATGTCAATACATCCCTAATTGCTTTTCATATCTGCATCATCCCTTTCCTGGTACAAAAACTTTGGAATTACTCAAATCTCCCCCATATCAACCTACTAATAAATCTTCTTGGCTTGATTTTTGTATATATCTAAAATATGACTACTTATTACCTCCCCCTCTGCTGCCATTCTAGCCCAGGCAACTGTCGTCTTCCATCTGGACCATTACATCAGCCTCCTAACAAATCTCCTTGCTTCCATCCTGGCTTTAGCCAAGATCTCTCTACAGCATAAGCAAGATGGTGTCATCTATCACAGATTATACTTCCTTGAAAGCTAGCTTAGGTAGAGTTTAGTATACAGGACTTTTTTAAAGGAGTGCCTAGGAGATCAACACTTGTGGAAAGGAAAAAATAAGAGAAGTCAAGCAATTATATAGACCCAATGATAGGCTCAGCCAACCACATGGTAGCCTTTTGTAGCCCATAATGACCCTTCAGAGTTGTCCCAAGTTGTGCTAAGTTGGCAGGCCTTTATGACCCCTCATCAGTTAGTCATGGATGATGTCTCCTCTGTGAGGGGTACAACTTCAGCAAGGCAGCCCTCTGCAGCTGAGATAGTCCCTGAAGGGATTGTTAACAGTCAGTCAACAGTACTCTCAGGCAACTGTACTCCCAGCAGTGGAGACAACAGCATTCACTGAAGGGGGATCTGGGAAACCCACCATAGGATCCACCATATCACTCCTCTGCCCAGTTTGCTCCAGGGACCTCCTATTCCACTCAGAACACAATCCAGAGTTCTTGCTATTTCTGTCTGGCCATATCTCCTTCGACTCTTCCCCAAATTCACTCCCCTAAAGCCATCTTAGCCACCCAGATATTTCTCAAATCTACCCACCTTTTGCCTCACGCCAGTATCTCTCATCTATCTATCTATTTATCAAATATGTATGTTTGTTGTTTGTCCATCTGCTTCCTCCACTTGGATATAAGCTCTATAAAAGAGGGGACTTTGATTTTATTCACTGCTATATCTTTCATGACTATGATAGTGCCAGGCACATAATTGATGCTCAATATAAATTTGTTAACTACAATTATTTTAGGGTATTCCATAGCAAACAAGAGCTAAGGCACTAGTAAGCTAAGTAAACCTAGGTTTTATTTTTGGTTCTAAGCTTATGAGCTGTGAGATGTGGACTAACTGATGTGTGCTCTCTGCATCTGAGTTATCCCAGTTATATAATATAGATGAAGCCAGGTGTGGCAGCTCACATTGGAAGGCCAAGGCAGGAGGATCACTTGAGGCCAGGAGTTGGAGACTAGCCTGAGCAATAATAAAGCAAGACACTGTCTTAAAAAAATAGAGAAATAAGCTGGGTGTGGTGACCCATGCTTGTAGTCCCAGCTACTGAAGAGGCTGAGGTAGGAGAAGTGCCTGAGCCAAGGTGTTTGATGTTGCTATGATGAGCTATGACGACCCTACTGCTATGATGAGCTATGACGACACTACTGCACTTCATCCTGGATAACAAAGCAAGAGGCTGACACACAAAAATGTAGATGATTATGAAGTACGTATATAATAGATTTGTGGTAAGGTCAAAAGTATCCAATTGATAACACTTAGAATCTAAATTTGTTTATATGCACAGTGCCTAGTATGCAGCAAGTCCTCATTAGAAGTCATCTTTTCTATCATTATGATAAACATATGGATTCATTTATGGTCAGAGTTGTTTTTGATGAGTCTATGATTGCTTAAATGATGAAAATAATTTCTTTAATTCTTCATCTTAGAGTAGCCTCTAGATAGCTGGGGCTGATATTTCCCTTTTCAAGAGGGAGAGGCTGCCATAACAAAAGGCCATAAAACTGTGTGGCTTAAGCATCAGAAATCTGTCATATTTCTGAAGGCTGAGAAATCCAAGATCAAGGTGCTGGCCTATTCAGTTCCTGGTAAAGGCTCTCTTCCTACCTTGCAGCTTTTCCCTATTCCTCAGACGGCCTTTCCCTAGTATGTGTGTGGGGGTGGGAGGTATAGGGAGATCTCTTCGTCTTCTCACAAAGCACTAATCACATCATGAGGGCCCTACCTTTATGCTCTAATCTAACTCTAATTACAACTCACATGAAATTACATTACATCCAAATACCATCCATCAACTTAGGGGTTAGAGCATCAACATACGTATTTTGGAGGGACACATTCAGCCTCTAACAGTTTAATTTTATATCAGAAAGTTTCAACAACAAAAATTTATGTTATGTTGGAGAGTAAGTTTTCCTAAGTGCAACTTCTTTACCTTCTGTTTATACATTGTCAAAGTCCGTTTAAAATTGCATTTTACTTTTATTTTTATTTTATTTTATTTTATTTATTTATTTATTTATTTTTGAGACAGAGCCTCAAGCTATCCCCCTGGGTAGAGGGCTATGGCTTCACTGCTCACAGCAACCTCCAACTCCTGGGCTCAAGCCAGTCTCCTGCCTCCGCCTCCCAAGTAGCTGGGACCACAGGCGCCCGCCACAACGCCCTGCTATTTTTTGGTTGCAGCCATTATTGTTGTTTGGCGGGTCTAGGCTGGATTCAAACCCTCCACCTTAGGTGTATGTGGCTGGTGCCTTAGCTGCTTGAGCCACAGGCGCCGAGCCGCATTTTACTTTTAAAAGAGGTGAGTAGGGCGGCGCCTGTGGCTCAAAGAGGGAGGGCCCTGGCCCCATATGCCTGAGGTAGTGGGTTCAAACCCAGCCCCAGCCAAAAATTGCAAAAATAAATAAATAAATAAATAAAAGAGGTGAGTAAATTTTCTATTTAAAGAAGTTGTGGTTTCTTTTGCAAAATGATCTTCTTTTTGTAATCAGAATCTTATTCTATAATGATTAGAATGTGGGCTCTGTGAGCCGCAGCTTTTCCAAGGGAGCGTTTGGGTGTTCGCCATCTTAGGGAGAAGATGTACTCGTCCGTGGCGCACCTGGCGCGGGTAAACCCCTTCAACGCGCCGCACCTGCAGCTGGTGCACGATGGCCTCACGGGTCCCCGTAGCTGTCCCGCCGGGATCACAGCCCTGCTCCGACGCTCTCGCAACCTGGCAGCCGCCGCTGTTGAAGAGTACAGTTGTGAATTTGGCTCTGCGAAGTATTATGCACTGTGTGGCTTTGGTAAGGTCTTAAGTTGTGGTCTGACACACACTGCTGTCGTTCCCCTGGATTTAGTGAAATGCCGTATGCAGGTGGACCCCCAGAAGTACAAGGGGATATTTAATGGATTCTCAGTTACACTTAAAAAGGATGGTTTTCGTGGTTTGGCTAAAGGATGGGCTCCAACTTTCATTGGCTACTCCATGCAAGGACTCTGCGTTTGGCTTTTACGAAGTATTTAAAGTCTTATATAGCAACATGCTTGGAGAGGAGAACACTTATCTGTGGCCCACATCACTGTACTTGGCTGCCTCTGCCAGTGCTGAATTCTTTGCCGACATTGCCCTGGCTCCTATGAAAGCTGCTAAGGTTCGAATTCAAACCCAACCAGGTTATGCCAACACATTGAGAGATGCAGTATCCAAGATGTATAAGGAAGAAGGCCTAAATGCATTCTACAAGGGAGTTGCTCCTCTGTGGATGAGACAGATACCATACACCATGATGAAGTGCGCCTGCTTTGAACGTACTGTTGAAGCATTGTACAAGTTTGTGGTTCCTAAGCCCCGCAGTGAATGTACAAAGGCAGAGCAGCTGGTTGTAACATTTGTGGCAGGTTACATAGCTGGAGTCTTCTGTGCAATTGTTTCTCACCCTGCTGATTTGGTGGCGTCTGTGTTGAATAAAGAGAAAGGTAGCACTGCCTCTCAGGTCCTCCAGAGACTTGAATTTAAAGGTGTATGGAAGGGCCTCTTTGCTGGTATCACCATGATTGGCACTCTGACTGCACTACAGTGGTTCATCTATGACTCTGTGAAGGTCTACTTCAGGCTTCCTTGCCCTCCTCCACCTGAGATGCCAGAGTCTCTGAAGAAGCAGCTCGGGTTAACTCAGTAAATAGATCAAAGCAAATATGGACTGAATCTGCTTGCTGATCAGTGTCAAAGTACAAAAGGAACTTTTATATATTTGAACGTGTAGGAAGTTGTCTATTCCTTATGTAATTACGTAGTACTCTTGTGTAAGGCGAGAGTTTCAAATTTACTGTTGAAATAAACCCAGCTGTTCATGGTTAAAAAAAAAATGATTAGAATGTGGATGTTTGCACTCTTAATTTTTTCAGTTCTCTGTATGGAGATGTGGACGGTCTTGCTGCAATTCTTATAGAGTATATATTTACTGCATAAAATGAAAATGTGGGCAAAAAGTCAGAAAATACATAAACTTTAAGTTCTTGTCAGTCTACTTATAGCAATATAAAAAAATTTAAAAATAAGCATCTTTTTCTCAGATTTTATTAAAATCGTTGCCTCACATATACACATGCAATGGTTTTATCTATGTTCCTCTTGGCAGTAACAGCCGAAAGACAAAGTGTGAAGGTCACAGGAAGTGAGGAATAACTTTTAACGTCTGCTGTATCCTACACCTACGGACTAGCTCAAAAGCAGGCGGGAGGGAAAGGCTCTGCATGGTGCGGGTTGGTCCAGCGACTCCGCCGGCCTCACTAAAGCAGGAGCGAAACGCAGCGGCAGCTACCGTTCGTGATCACCCCCCTAAGTGACGCCAATTGAACATATCCAGAAAAATCGCTGCTTTTAAATAGTCAGGAAATACCAGTTCTCTCGAACTAGGTTTTATATCTTCCTAATCTGCATGTATAATAAAACTAGATTTAAACAATAAGAAAAGAGCCCCCCGGCCGACCGCACAACCTACAGGGAAACACAAGGATTTGGCCAACAGGAAGAGGAAACAACATCCAATCAGCGCCCGGTTCTCAGTGACCAATCACACCTCGCCTTGCATTGCGGCGCTGGGAAACACCGAGCTGTAGCCTTGCGTGTCCGGGCGTTTGGCTGGCTGCTCCGGTCTGCTCCTGTTTGTCACCTGGAGAGGCGAGCGCGCCCGAGGTTGCGTTTGTTACCTGAGCAGTACGGGACGAGCAGTTAGTCCTTCTCTGTGTTTGCTGGATTTGCTTCCAGCCACTGCTCATGTAATGCACTCCCTTAACCAGGAAATTAAAGCATTCTCCCGGAATAATCTCAGGAAGCAATGCACAAGGGTGACAACGCTAACTGGAAAAAAAATTATAGAAACATGGAAAGATGCCAGAATTCATGTGGTGGAAGAAGTAGGCCCGAGCAGTGGGGGTGGTTGTGGTTATGTGCAGGACCTTAGCTTGGACCTGCATGTTGGCGTTATTAAGCCATGGTTGCTCCTGGGTGAGTATATCGACTTGCCACTAAGGCTGTTAAGTCCTTTAGCCACATTGCTGTCTTATTTTCCACCCTTATGTGTAATAGTCTTTATCAGCAGCTATCCTGCCAAAATAGTTAAAGTGTTTCCTGTTTGGGATATGGAACGTCCGTTAGTCAGCTATAGACCTTTCTGATCCACAATGTACCCATATATTCTAGTGGCACTTGGCAGCTGGTATTTGAATTTTACCACGTAGAAAAGCTTTCTTCCGGTTTTTCCAACTTCTTTGAAGGATAACATATTGACATTGTGTTTTCTTGGATTATAAAAGATACAGATTTTTAAAAAATTACAAAGAATGTTTTTATCAGGATAAAAGTGACAAGGGTTACACTTAAAGAAAACCTAATACTTGAAATAGTCATAGGCTTGTTTGTCTACTCAGCTGTTACAAACTATATGGAACACGGGCCTCTGTGGTCACATCTGTTCATGGTGTCTGTTTTTGAAGCTTTTAGAAGGGATTTTATTTTATAGCTATTATCTGATGGTTTTAGGATTTCTTTTTATTTTATTTAATTATGCAAATATGGAGTCCTTATTCCAGCCTAGTCCACAAATAGCAAATGAAACAAAATTATAAAGTACAGATTTTTTAATTTTGAAAGAATATGGTATTGTGTTCTTAAAAGACTACTCAATGTTTTTAGGAAGGTCTGAATTATTTTTCATTTATGAATAGATAAATTAAGACTTGGAAAGATTAAATGACTTGTCAATATTTATGCAGCCAAAGAACGCATTCTTAGAACTGGGAGTCAGAAATAGCCAGGTACCATGTGAAGTACACCCAGAATCTCACTCCTTTGATAAGCCCTGTGAAGTAGGGATCATCAGCTTCATTTTAGAAATGGGAGTTGGGATTTAAGATTGATTATGTAATTTGCATATGGTAACATACCTAGTAAATAACAGAGCTGAGTATTAAGCACAGTGATTCCTGCTCTCCATCATTTTACTAGACTGCTTCATGTAGATCAAATTTTCAGCCCTGCTCTGCGTCTAATTTAGTAGATTAGCTAGTGCAAGTCATTTATCCTCTTTAGTCTTTAAAAAAGCCATCAGTAAAGCTCAAGTAACAGTATCTATCTCAGGATTGTCCTGAGGTTGTTGAAAAAGGTTTCTGATACAAATCAAGTACTGTATACACAAAAGTTATTATTGTATTATGTATTATATGAATTATTATATAGGCTATCTTTAAATTCACCAAATAAATATCTCCAAGTAGTTTCTGCAGCCCGGTGAAAAATTATACCATAATCTTGTCAGATTAACAATGAAAAATTAAGCGAGTCATTTAGCTGATCAGGAAAGTTTACCTAGGTCTTGCCTACCATTTCTAGAAAAGAAAATGTGTCCAAGTATATTTTTCAGTTACTTGGCTTCCACTATAGGGATACTGATTTAAAATAATTGTGGTAGAACTTTCATTAATCATTCACCAATTCTGAGTTTTCAAGTTATTTTTTAATGTGGATTTATCCAGTGTTCTCAGATTAGGGTTGGAATCCTCCCTAGGATTCTGGGAGGGGTCCTGAGAAGGACTTCTGAAACTAGTCTTAATAAGGTCTTCTCTGTGGACCATGAAATGGGAGGATGACTTGAGGTCAAAAGTTCAAGGCTAGCCTGGACAACATAGCAAGACCCTATCTCTATGAAAAATACAAAAATCAGCCAGTCATGAAGGCTTGTACCTGTAATCTAAGCTATTTAGGAGGCTGAGGTAGGAGGATCACTTGGGACCAACCTGGGTGACAGAGCAATACCCTGTCTCTAAAAACAAAAACAAAAAACAAGTTTAACACAGACTGCCACATAAACCATCTATTTAAAATTAGAGAAAAGCTGGTAGTTATATCTAGACTCTAGAGAGAATGAACTTGAACTGAATACTAATAAGTATTAGGTGAAAAACGCAAGCTGATTACCTGAAGTCCATTTGTCCTGACTTAAATTATTCTTCACACTACTAACACTCATTTAATTTTCTCTCTTTTTTTTTTTTTTTTGGTCAGGGCTGGAGTTTGAACCCACCACCTCTGGCATGTGGAGCTGGTACCCTACTCCTTGAGCCCCAGGCGCCACCCTTAATTTTCTTATTGATGGAAAAGGGAGAGAGTACACACTGCTTTTTTTTTTTCTTTTTTTTAAGTTTTGAGACAGAGTCTCACTCTACTGTCTGGGTTGGAGTGCAGTGGCCTTATCATAGTGTAACCTCACACTCCTAAGCTCAAGCCACCCTTCTACTTCAGCCTTCATGCTCAGCTAATTAAAAAAAATTTTTTGTAGGGATGGGGTCTTGCTGTTGCCCAGGCTGGTCTCAAACTCCTGGCCTCAAGCAAACCTGCTGCCTTTGCTAAGATTATTGGAGTGAGCTATGGGTTTGACCTACAAGTTGCATTTTTCTGTCTCAAGAACACTAAATTTATAGCAATATAGACATATTCTGGAAGTTACTTTCAAAATAGGGCAGCTAATTCTGAAATATGATTGACCTGTGTTGGGGGATATGTATGTGTAGATGTGTGTATAAAGGATATGATCAAAACATCCAGTGTTGATAAATACTTATTGTAATAATGACAGTATTGGGTAAAAGAAGGGAAACAATTTCATTTAGGGCATGCTTTAATTTTTGCTATTTTAAGAAGTAGATTAAGGTTATTATTTAAAAGATGGCATACATATTAAAATTTCAATTGATGTATGAAACCTATTTTTCTGTAGAGATGGTGAGGCCTTCCTACAGTAGAAAACTGAGACTTTAAAAAAAATTATGAAGTATTTCAAATGTATAGAAAATTACAGAAAATAATATAACAATTATGTGTCCACTATCCAGCTTTAACAAATGTTAATATTTTGATAGGCTAACTTTTAAGTAGAGTAAGTTAAATGTGGGCTCAGTAAGGAGCCTGTCAGCTTGGTATTATCAAGACGATATTGGCCAACACTATGCTTGCTGGCCTTAGAACTACCTGAAGACAGGTAATTACAGTTGGCTGATTTCCCAGATAGGTTAAGGTAAGAAAAATGCCATTTATGAAATGCAACCAAATTTAGGAAAGTAAAATGCCTGAAATCCTGAAGTATAAATGCCCTGTTTTTTCAATTGTAAAACTTGCTTTACTTGAACTAGTTATTCTCCCATAGAAACTTGGCTGATTAACTGGAGCCAGTTTCCAGGTGTGAGACATCTAGGAGACTGACTGTGACAGGAAGGGACTGTAGAAGGGTACAGCGGCATTTGCGTTAAACTTTTGGGTGTTCCCAAATCAGCTAGCACTAAGTCATCTTGTGCGTATCTGATTTTCATACCCCCTTTTTTAAGTTACAAAAGAAAGAGATGTTTGGCTTGGCGCCTGTGGCTCAAGTGGCTAAGGCGCCAGCCACATACACCTAAGGTGGCGGGTTCGAATCCAGCCCGGGCCAGCCAATGGGATGACAGGGACTTCTTATTACTGTGTGTTCAATAAAGGGCAGGCGACTATTAAAAAAAAAAAAAAAAAAAGGACTGAAAAGTTTTTCCTCTAAAATAGAAAAAAAAAAAAAATAGGACACTAACTTGCAAATTAAAAAAAGAAAAAGATA